TCGTTTTCCATGCCCCCTCACCCTTCACCCCCCCCCCCCACCCGCCCCCTTCGCCCCCCATCCTCCCGCCGCGCCCGCGACGAGGGGAGTAGACGGCGGGGCGAGGGGCTTCGGACTGGCCGGGGGGGCGGCGCATGCCGCGAATAAATTTACCCCCGCGGGGAAAACCTACATGCGCAACCCCAGGTGAAACCCTCGGAAAATTATATGTGCAACCTCAGATGAAGGTTCCACCAAACATCGAAAAACAACACACGTAGGTGCGGGCAAGAAGAGACTCTTCCTGCCCGCACCAGCGTCCAACCCCAAGTCCTCGATCGGATGCGCCGTCTTGGCTGGGGCGCCGCGCGCGCAGCGTCCTCGCCGCGTAGTGAGCCAGCCAACACCTTAAAATCATGAGCCTGCTCTGCCTGGAATGATCGGGCCACGTTGATGACTCCCTTCGGAGTCTGAACTCCCGCGCCCTCCGCCCATGCCACAGCGTCGTCGACGGGCGCCCAGAGACTTGCCTACGGCGATGCAAAGCGCACGATGTGAGATAGGATGACTGGATACCTTAGCAAGCCGCACGCTACCAGGGGGCCCCCCGCGACGGGCCGCGCGACCCGCGCGCCCTCGACGCGCCGCGGCCGCGAGAAAGACATGGCCTCCGTCTCGACAGCCACCGCCGGGGGGCCGACGGGCGGACCCGGCTCGCGCCGTCGTGGAATTTCTCGACGCCCACAAGCAGGGCGAGGCTCGACGGGCCAGGGGGCGCCCCCGACTCGTCGGGGCGCGCCCGCGGGGGCCCTGCGCGGAGAGCGGAGGTCCCTCGCGCGGCAGCGCCCCAATGCGCGCCGAGGGCCTCGCTCCATTCACGGGGGGCTGCGCGCGCGACTCGAAGGCGTCACGGGCGAGGGCAGCGCGACGAGGGCCCTCTCGCCCCCAGAGGGCACGGGGGCCGCCGCCCAAAGCGGCGCCGAGCATTGCCTCGGCCGTGTGCCCGCCTGCTCGGGAATATTGAGGATGCCGACCAGCTGCCGGCGCACCTCTGCGAGAGCCCACGTGCATTGTGCTAACTGAGACCATCAGTGCCGCCAGTCTCGTTGGGGCTGGCGGCCGCCGCCGCAGCGTCCAAACCCTCGAGCGCGATGGGCGACAGGTCCTGACGCGCGCGTCGGCGTAGCACGCGCATCTCAGCCCCGATGTCCTCGTGGGAATCAAGCCCGCCAGCCCCGATCTTACACCATCGCGGACTCTTCGCGCGCATGGGGGCCTCAGGATCTGCTGCGCACGCTCCGCTGCCCCCCCCCGACGCTGCTCAAATGCTGGCGCCGCCCGTTCCTTAGCAAACTTGCGCAGCGCGCCTGGGGGCAGCTTCCAAACCGATTTTACAAATTTCGCGAGCTGCTGCCTCTGAACGGCGAGCCCCCTCGCGGCCGCCACGGCGAGGTGGTTCTCCGCATCGTTCCTGGCGATGCGAAACTCCCAAATCCAGCGCGCCTACGTTCCGAAGGCCCAGCGCGGGCTCGCCCGCTTCCTGGACGCTGCACTTCCTGCGGAAGATGCGCTCCAAACCCGTGCGACTAAGGCCCTGGCGGCCTGCCGAGACGTTGCGCCCGCGCTGCCCCCGCTGCCGGATGTCCGCGCCGCTGGCGCGCAGCGACTCGATTCAGGCGAGGGGCGCGCCTGGGGTGGGCCGGCGCCCCGGCCCGATAGACCGCGCGCGCGCGGCCCGGCGCGGCCTTGGCGCGACGCCAACGGGCGTCGAAGCCCCCCCCCTGTCGCGGCGCGACCCGCCACGGGGGGGTCAATCGCACCCTGCTCTATAATGGCCCCCTCTAAGGCGGCGACCCAGACCGCGCGCTCGCATGAGACAGAACCACCACGAGTGCCCGTCGTGGACTGCGCGCCGCGACTGGCGAGAGCAAGCGCGCGCCCATCCTTTGGCCGACCTCCTGCCGCTGTTCGACGTCGACGCGGCGCCTGGGAACGGGGTTGACACTCGGTCTCGGTCGGCTCCAACGCGGCAAACTCCCTGCGAAAGTCCTCCGGGAGGGCCGCCGCGCACCCGGCCCTCGCCCCCCGCGTCTGCTCACTCCTCTTGCTCTCTGGGTTCAGCTTCTTCCCGGGCGGCAACGCCTGGGGGGGCGTCTCGGGCGGGCGAAGGCGGCGACGCCACCTGGCCTGGGCTCTCCCAGGAACGACCTGGCCGAAGCCCAGGTGAGTCCTCCGGGGGGCCCGAACCTCCGCAACGATCTCGATGTCCTGGGCGATGTCCGACCGCGCCACCGCGAAGACGATGAGGCTGCCCTTGCCCATGTCGCAGGTGACCTGCACATCGGGGCGGATGACCTTGCCGCCCAGCCTGGGCTCCGGCCCCGACCTCTCCACGACCTCGGGCGACATGTTCCAATTCCGCACGGCGACCCTCAGCGACGCTCGCGACGATCGCCGACGGCGCCTTTGAATTCTCAGAACTGCCACCTCCCATCCCTGCGTCGGGGGGAAGGCGGGAACAGAAGAAGCCGAGGTTGCCCGAACTGAAGCGGAGGTTCATGGCCGCAAAGCCCCAACGATAAACCCGAACACCGCTCTTGATCATCGCGTCGCGCATGCAATCGTGCACGGCGGTGGCAAGGTGAGCCTTCGCAGTCGATAGCTCGCCGCCGCTTTTGCGTTCTTTGATATCTCAAGGGGCGCGGCCGTCGTGGCCGCCATCTTGCAGCCGTGCTTGCTGATTGCTGAGATCTTTCTTGAGCGTCGCGATGCCGCCGCTGGGAACGCGCGCCCCCGCAAAGGCGAAGGCGCCGGCCTGCGCCGCGTTCTCGCCGATGAACTCGCGGGACCTATCGCCCCACTGCGCAGCGCTACTGAAAGAAATATTCGTATGCTGCCTCTCAAGGGAGCCCCGAAGCTGGTTGGCGCACGGCTCCGAGGAGTAGACTCGCCAGCGCCGCCAATGCCAGCGCCCACCGCTTGGGGGCCAGGGGCCGCCGGTGTGCTGGACTTGAACTCGCCCGCCGACTTGGCCTTCTCGGTGGTTTCGTCGAGGATATTGCTGACGTTGTCCCCCCTCGCCTGCTTCTCCTCGGCGCTGAGAGGGTCCTGAGCAGGAGGGGCCTCTGCAGCGGGAGGCCCACCAGGTGCTGCAGGCGACGGTGCAGCCTGACCCTCCTCGCCACCCTTGCGCTTCTTCTTGCCATGGTCCCTCCTGATCGCCTCGGCCTCCTCCGCTATCTGCTGCATCTCCTTCTCCATGGCCTTGGCGCGCAGGAAGAGCTCCTGCATTGCCTTGGCGTCGTCGCAGAACTTGGCGAGCTGCTGCTTCTGATCCTGCTCGAGACCGTCGATGTCCTGCAACGCGCGCTCATCTGCGGCACGTTCGTTTTCCTGCCCGTGATCCCGCGTGCAATCCTGAAGTGCTTGCGCGTGCTCCACCTGTGCCTCGTGGGCCTCCTGCGCTGCCTGGTCAACCTGTTCCAGGAGCCTATGCGCCACCTTCTGCGCCCCGTTGCACTTGTCGCGACGCCGTCGAGCCTGAACTGGACCGGCTGATCTTGTCGATCGCCTGGCGGAGTACGGTCGAGTTCGGCGTTTCCTTCTGCTTGGGGGCGTGCTTGACAGCGATGCTGGACTTGAGTTGCTCCGGCTGCGCCACCATGGTAGGGTCGGGGCCGAGCTTCGCGATCGCAGCCTCGGGCTGGCCGCAGACCGCCTCGACGTGAGACTCGCCTTTCGACCAAGGCGGCACCTTGTTGTCCCCCTGTGGGTCCACTGCTCAATGGGGGCGTCGCATTTCTTGCAGCACCCGTCGTGCTGTGCGATCTTCCAGTCGTACGCCCACTTGCTCCATGGCTCACAGAGGGACCAGGCCCACTACTTTTACCCATGCTGCCACAACGCCATGGGGAGACTCAAAGAATGCCTTGCGCTGGGGCGGACCGGCGGTTGGCTCTGGTCAGGGCAGACTGACCGAATTCTGAGGACTGCCTCGGACTAGCAGTATCCATTTGCTCCGCTGGAAACCTCATCACATTGACCCAACATGGCGACGGAGAAGGAGGACGAGGAAGAGGAGGAGGAGGAGGACAAGGAGGAGTAGGAGGAGGACAAGGAGGAGGAGGAGGAGGAGGAGGAGGAGGAGGAGGAGGAGGAGGAGGAGGAGGAGGAAGAAGGGGCGCAAGGTCTCGGGCCTCGGCAGGCGAGAGGGGGGGAAGGGGAGGGCGTCGGACAGCGGAGGGGTAGGCGGAAGGGGGGGCAGGGCAGGCGGAGGTGTGGAGGGGGGGGGGCGGCGGCGGAGTGAGAGGAGGGCGGCGAGGGGCAGCGGGGTAGCGGCGGCGGCTGCCAGTGGAGAGGCAGGCGGAAAGGCGGGCGGAGAGGCGGGCGGAGAGGCGGGCGAGGGGGCCAGAGACGTCAGAAGGCCACGGCCCTCCTGCATTAGTCGTCCTCGACCTCGTCCTCGTCCTCGTCCCCCTCCTCCTGGGTTCCTGGGTCCTTGGCGGCTGCAAGGTCTACAGACGTAGCCATCCACCTCCTTTTCCTCCTCCTCCTCCTCCTCCTGCTCCTCCTGTTCCTCCTCTTCCTCCTCCTCCTCCTCCTCCTCCTCCTCCTCCTCCTTTCGTCTTCCTGCTCCTCCTCCTCCTCGTCCTCCTCCTCCTTCTCATCCTCCTCCTACAACTATAACTGCGCAGTTCGCTCGTGAGTCACACCCAAAGTTTCCAGGCGAGTCTCGGGAGGAACCGTTTCCAACGTCCCTGCCCTCTCCGTCCCCTCCCCCCCCTCCCCCTCTACCCCCGCCCAAGCGTTCGGCAACTGTCCTGCCTTGTATAGTTGCCAGCCGTGCTGCGGACCTCTTCTGGCTGCCACAAGACATCCAGCCGAGAGCCGTCAAGCATAGGACACCGTCAAACTTGCACAGATGGTTCTAGGTAGCCACAGCGGGTATCGGAATATTGCTGGGAGAAGATGAACGGAATAGGCGGGTAGGAGAGAGCTGGGAGAGATTGCGGTCTTTTGTATTGCCTCCGCCCGCACACGCATTTGGGCTTCGCTCACCAAATTCGGCGCCCAGGCGCGCCCCGCGCGCCTGTTCTCTGAGGATGGGAGGTGAAGGTTTCAACGTAAGTTCAGGAGTGAGCGTCGGTTCTTGGACGTCCATAGACCTATATTCTGCATGGCTGTGTTTGCCTCTTGGCCAGTCAGCGGGCCCTGTAAGTCTGCATGGGGATTCGTCTTCTTGAACGCACCCGGCAACAACTCCCGTGGAGCTCGCTCACTGACCCTTCTGATCCGATCCGAGCCGATCCTCCTCTTCCTGCTCCTGATGTTGCTCCTCTTCCTCCTCCTCCCCGCTCCTCCCCCTCCTCCTCCTCCTCCTCCTCCCCCTCCTCCTCCTCCTCCTCCTCCTCATCATCATCATCATCATCATCATCATCATCATCATCATCATCATCATCGTCAGCAGCATCAGCATCAGCATCACCAGCATCAGCATCAGCATCAGCAGCCTCATCATCATCATCATCATCATCGTCGTCGTCGTCGTCATCATCATCATCATCATCATCGTCATCATCATCAGCATCATCATGATCATCATCATCATCATCGTCATCATCATCACCACCACCACCATCATCATCAGCATCATCAACATCAGCATCATATTCATCATCACCATCACCATCACCATCATCAGCAGCATCACCATCATCATGAGCATGACCACCATCACCACCACCACCTTCATCAATATCACCATCATCATCGTCATCATCAGCAGCAGCATCGTCAGCATACCCATCACAGTCACCATCGCCAGCATCATCATCACCATCATCATCGGCATCACCATCATCAGCATCATCATCTTCGTCATCATCATCAGCAGCATCAGCATCAGCATGATCATAGTCAGCATCAGCATCAGCATCATCACCAGCAGCACCATCATCACGATCATCATCATCAATCATCATCATCATCATCATCATCATCATCATCATCATCATCATAGTCAGCATCAGCATCAGCATCATCATCATCATCATCATCATCATCATCATCATCGTAATCATCATCAACATCATCAGCATCCCCATCATCATCAGTATCCCCATCATCATCATACGCAACAGCAGGATCATGATCATCATCATTAGCATCATCAGCATCATTACTACCATCAGCAGTATCAACATCATCAACATCATCAGCATCATCAACATCAGCATCACCACCAGCATCATCATCAACATAATCATCAGCATCATCATCACCACCATCATCACCGGCACATTCATCGTCATCGGCATTGTCAACATCATCACCACCACAAACATCAGCACTATCAGCATGATCAGCAGCATCGTCATCATCATCACCACCATCATCATCAGCATCATCATCAGCATCAGCATCGCCAGCATCATCATCATGATCATCCTCGTTCTCATCGCCACCACCATCATCAGCACCACCACCATCATCACCACCATCATCACCATCGCCAGCATCACCACCATCATCATCATCCCCATCATCCTCGCCATCCTCATCAAAATCATCATCATCATCAACAACAACGTCACCACCATCATCATCCGCCATTGTTCTGTAGTCTTCTATGAGACCCGCCGGGTCACGCTTCCCCGAGTGCGTCGCCCTTTATTACCCGGGGGTCCCTGGGCGGGCCATGGCGCCTCCCTGGGACTCTTCAAAGCTTCCGTGGCGGCCCAGGAGGCTCCCAAGGCGGTCCAAGAGGGCCCCGAGTCGCCGAACGATCGCTCGAAGACGCCCCAGATGGCTTCAAAATGGCCCCAGAGGCCTCCAAGACGCCCCAAGAGGCCGCCTAGGGTCCTCATAAGAGGGCCCAAGCAACAACATATAGATTTCCCTTGGGGGTTTGAAAGATTTGGGCGTTCTAGCCTTTTCAGCTTTCCGACGCTCCAAGATGGCCCAAGAGGCCCCCAAGACCATCCCAGAACAGCCCAAGAGGCCTTCAAGAGGGCCCCAAGAAAGCCTAAGAGCGCCCAAGACTGCCCACGAGGCGCCCAAGACGGCTTAAGAGGGTCCCAAGACGACCCCAAAAGGGGTCCAAGAGAGGGAACACGAACCGAAAATACAAGCCTTCCGCCCCAAGAGGTCCCAAGGAGACCCCGAGGCTCGAAGAGGCCCCAACAGGCCCCCAGGAGGCTCCAAGAGACACCAAAACGGCCCCCAAGAGGCATGACAACTGCCTCCAAAGAGGGTTCCGAGAGGCCGCCCAGCGAGACCCCGCGTTCCGAAGAAGGACCGCTTCACACCCGTGCAGTCGTTGCACGATTTATGGCTTGACGTCATCAACTTCGAGGAAGCATTTCAACAGAGTCGCCCTGCATCCGTGCAGTGCTACGCGTGTTGAAACATCAAGCCTGTTTGTAGAAAAACACGCGATCTCGAGCGAAAGTCCGCAGCGCTGGGGCGAGAGCCGCAACGCCAATCCTTGAAGCTGCTGCACACTTTCAGAGCAAATGTGTGCGGCGGTATGGCGAGAGCCACATTCTCACCTCCCTTGCATCCTTGATAGTGCTGCGGACTCTTAAGACGACTGTGTGCGGCGCTGAGACGGGAGCTCCATGCTGGAAAGCGCTCCCCCTCAATATTTGAAGCTTTTTGGGGACATTGCGAGGACTGTGCGCGGCGCTAAGACGAGTGCTACATTTTGAAAAAGATCAGGAGAGACAACAAAAAACACAGACATAATGAATCGTCGACTCCATAGAAAATATGGGACAACATGGGAAGTGGGGGGGGGGAGACAGAAACCCAGAACAGATGGGAACCTATGGGGAGTCCTGTTATTTGTGTTCATTTTTATATGTGTGTGTGTGTGTGTCAGTGTGTGTGTGTGTGTGTGTGTCACATGGCCCCTTCAAAAGACGTGTGCTCCATCCTGCTGCGAAGCTCAGGTTTGAGGTTCGTGCATGATGAGGGCGTCTCAGGCGAAAAGCCTGGCCCGCCCGGCCAGCACGCCTCGGGATTCGCTCGGGAGGACTATGGCAAGTCCCGCCGTCGTGCCTAGGTTGTGGGTATGAAGCGCAGTGGATGTTCGTTGGGATCTCGTGGGAGGCCTCTCGGGGCCTCGTTCAACTGTATGATGACAGTTCCTCGCATTCCTGATTACGTTCCGGATGGATGGAAGCCAATTCCTTTTCAAAACGGCTGGCCCATGCCCAGACATCCAGCTGCTCCAATTTGTGTTGTTGCGTGGACCCACTTCCCCGGGACCGGTTTTTCGTCCTGACTCGTTTTTTGACGTTCCCGAGGCCCGGCGAGGGCCCCCAGAAGCCGAAAACGGCCAAAATCCCGCCGCTCCAATTTTTACCTAACAGCTTTTGCTGATAGGTTTCTAGTGGGATCAAAAGAGAGCATCTTGACGCCCCAGGGGGGTCTAGGCGAGATCTGGACAAGGAACCGGACAAAAGGGTCAGCCCCAGGAATCCTTAGGAATCCTTCGGAATTCTTAGGAATCCATTCCCAGAACACAATTCCGAGGCCAGATGTTGAATGCCCGGGACCAACTGTAGGCCACTTCGTGTTCTTCGTGTTCCCAGAACACCACTCCCAGGCCACATTCTGAATGCCGGGAACCAACTGTAAGCCACTTCGTGTTCTTCGCGTTCCCAGAACACCATTCCCAGGCCACATTTTGAATGCCCGGAGCCAACTGTAGGCCACTTCGTGTTCTTCGTCTTCCCAGAACACCATTCCCAGGCCATATGTTGATTGCCCGGAGCCAACTGTAGGCCACTTCGTGTTCTTCGTCTTCCCAGAACACCATTCCCAGGCCATATGTTGATTGCCCGGAGCCAACTGTAGGCCACTTCGTGTTCTTCGTGCTCCCAGAACACAACTCCCAGGCCACATTTTGAATGCCCGGAGCCAACTGTAAGCCACTTCGTGCTCTTCGTGTTCCCAGAACACTATTCCTGTACCATATTTTGATTGCCCGGAGGCAACTGTGGGCCACTTCGCAATCTTCGTGTTCCCAGAACACCAGTCCTGTGCCATATTTCGAATGCCCGAGCTGAGGCAGGCTGAGGCCGAGGCAGGCTGAGGCCGAGGCAGGCTGAGGCTGAGGCTGAGGCACGCCGAGGCAGGCTGAGGCTGAGGCTGAGGCAGGCTAAGGCTGAGGCAGGCTGAGGCTGAGGCTGACGCAGGCTGAGGCCGAGGAAGGCTGAGGCTGAGGCTGAGGCACGCCGAGGCAGGCTGAGGCTGAGGCTGAGGCAGGCTAAGGCTAAGGCAGGCTGAGGCTGAGGCTGAGGCAGGCTGAGGCTGAGGCTGAGGCATGCCGAGGCAGGCTGAGGCTGAGGCTGAAGCTGAGGCAGGCTGAGGCTGAGGCTGAGGCTGTGGCTGAGGCTGAGGCAAGCTGCGGCTGAGGCAGGCTGAGGCTGAGGCTGATGCAGGCTGAGGCTGAGGCAGGCTGAGGCTGAGGCTGAGGCAGGCTGAGGCTGAGGCTCAGGCCGAGGCCGAGGCAGGCTGAGGCTGAGGCCGAGGCAAGCCGAGGCAGGCTAAGGCTGAGGCTGATGCTGATGCTGAGGCAGGCTGAGGCTGAGACAGGCTGAGGCTGAGGCTGAGGCAGGCTGAGGCAGGCTGAGGCTGAGGCCGAGGCAGGCTCAGGCCGAGACAGGCTGAGGTTGAGACTGAGGCTGAGGCTGAGGATGAGGCCGAGGCAGGCCGAAGCTGAGACACGGTGAGGCTGAATGGGGGGGGGAGGGGGGGGGGGAGGAGGGGAGGGCTGAGGCAGGATGAGGCCGGGGCAGGCTGAGGCCGAGGCAGACTGAGGCTTGAGGCTTGAGGACAAGCCGAGCAGGTGAGGCTGATGATGGGAGGCAGTGGCTGGGCTGAGGCTGAAGCAGGCTGAGGCTGAGGCTGAGGCAGGCTGAGGCTGAGGCTGAGGCAGGCTGATGCTGAGGCAGGCTGAGGCTGAGGCTGATGCAGGCTGAGGCTGAGGCTGAGGCAGGCTGAGGCTGAGGCCGAGGCAAGCTGAGGCTGAGGCTGAGGCAAGCCGAGGCAGGCTGAGGCTGAGGCTGAAACTGAGGCAGGCTGAGGCATCCGTAAGAATCCATAGGAATCCTTAGGACTCCCTAGGAATCCTTAGGAATGGGTAGGCATCTTTAGGAATCCGTAGGCATAGTTAAGCATCCTCAGGAATCCTTAGGAATCCATAGGGTTCCCTAGGAATCCTTAGGAATCCCCAGGAATCCCTAGGAATCAAGATTCCTAAGGATTCCTAAGGTTTCCTAAGGATTCCTATGGATTCCTAAGGATGTCTAAGGATGCCTTAGGAACCTTAGGGTTCCATTGGATCCATACGCCGTTGCCACGCGACGTCATTGCGAAATGCGACTGCGATCTGCGAGAACAACATAATCTACAACGGGATCTCACCTGAATCGTAAGTGGAATGCTTCCAGATATGCTTAATACACACGTGTGTATGTTGACTTTGCCGGGATCATTTTAGAGCGTCGGATCGAGGGTATGGTGCTGTCACAGCGGTCGGCGCCGTCTGGGCTCATGCTCGAGGCGTCCGCAACGTCAGGGGGCTGGGCGCGGGGGGGGGGGATCGGCGCGCTGAGAGAATCACGGGGAGGAGATGCTTGAGGGGGCCCAGGGACACACAAAGAAATGCATACACATCCCAGGATTCCCCATGCCTTTCTCCATTCTTGTTGGATGCTCGTCTTTCCCCCCCCCCCGACTTCCCATGTCTTCCGTATTTGTCAAGGGAATCGACGATGAATTGTGTCTGTGTATGGTTTCCCCTCCTGGGTGCTTCGGGCGGCCGCGAGCCCAGGGGTGGAAGTGAGAGGGGGCAGGCTTTCTCAGGGGGCGGCGGGGCTTCTCCTGAGCGTTCTCTTAGGGTAGAGGAGGGCTCAGGGTGGAATCCAGATGGGCTTTCGCACCTCGAAGAGCAATCCGTCTTCGGATCCACCGTTTGCAGATTCAGGGCTCGGACATCCATCGAAACGGCATTTCAGACTTCACCCTTTGCCCTTACACCCAAAGAAAATGCATCAGGTTCTCAGAAGCTCGCCCCTCTGAGAGGCCGCCTGCGGGGCTGGGCCCAAACCTTTTTTGTTGTCGCTTTGTTATCGTTTGATGCGGCGCTTTCCTCCCTCACTCCTCCCTTCCCTCCTTCTGCCGCCATCCTCCCCTCCCTCCTCCTCCTCCTCCTCCTCCTCCCTCATCCTCATTCTCCTCCTCCTACTCCTCCCCACCCACCCCTCCCCCTCCCCATCCCCCCTTCTCCTCCTCCTCCTCTCCTCTCTCCGCCTCCTCCTCCGCTCCTCCTCCTCCTCCTCCTCCTCCTCCTCCTCCTCTACCTGTTTTCCTGCACATCCCTGCCAAAACGAAAGACAAAACACAGCCGAGGCCCAGCAGAGCAGCGTTCAGGTCCAGCCCTGGCCGACCGCCTGCGACGCCCCGCCGCCCTCTGAGAAGGCCCGCCTGGCCGCCCTCTCTCGCTTCCCCCCCGGGTCTAGGATATTCCAGCCTACTTTAGCCCTGACCACGGGAAAGAATTTCGAGCCCCCCCCCAAAATTATGCTAACGGAGTTCCCCACATAATGATGTTTTTGGGCTAGCGGGATCAAGCAACATTTTGTAGAGAAATTGCCGACCTGCCCTCGCCCTCTCCATCCTTTTCTATCACATGGTTTGCGAATACCCTCCTCGCTCATGCGGGGCTTCCCTGGAGGGGTGGGACGGGCACGGAACCTGATAAATAGCACTGTTCGCGAATACCCTCCTCGCTCAGACGGGGCCTCCCTGGAGGGTGGGAGGGGCAGGAAATCTGATAAATAACACTGTGTTCGAATACCCTCCTCGCTCAGGCGGGGCCTCCCTGGAGGGGTGGGAGGGGCACGAAACCTGAGAAATAACAGGTGATGCGAATACCCTCCTCGCTCAGGCGGGGCCTCCCTGGAGGGGTGGGAGGGGCACGAAACCTGCTAAATAACAGGTGATGCGAATACCCTCCTCGCTCAGGCGGGGCCTCCCTGGAGGGGTGGGAGGGGCACGAAACCTGAGAAATAACAGGTGATGCGAATACCCTCCTCGGCTCAGAGGGCCATCCCTGAGGGGTGGGAGGGGCACGGAACTCTGATAAATAACAGGTGTTTCGAATACCCTCTCGCTCAGCGGGGCCTCCTCTGAGGGGTGGAGGGGCACGAACACCTGAGAAATAACGATGTTGCGGAATACCTCCTCGCTCAGGCGGGACCTCCCTGGAGGGGTGGGAGGGGCACGAAACCTGATAAATAACAGGTGATGCGAATACACTCCTCGCTCAGACGGGGCCTCCCTGGAGGGGTGGGAGGGGCACGAAACCTGATAAATAACAGGTGATTCGAATACCCTCCTCGCTCAGGCGGGGCCTCCCTGGAGGGGTGGGAGGGGCCGAAACATGATAAATGAACAGGTGATGCGACTACCTCTCGATCAGCGGGGCCTCCTGGAGGGGTGGGAGGGGCACCGAAACCTGATAAATAACACGTGTCGAATACCCTCCTCGCCCTCAGGCGGTGGCATCCTGGAGTGGGTGGGAGGGCACGAAAACCTGAGCAAATAACAGGTGATGCGAATACCCTCCTCGCTCAGGCGGGGCCTCCCTGGAGGGGTGGGAGGGGCACGAAACCTGATAAATAACAGGTGATGCGAATACCCTCCTCGCTCAGGCGGGGCCTCCCTGGAGGGGTGGAGGGGCACGAAACCTGAGAAATAACAGGTGATGCGAATACCCTCCTCGCTCAGGCGGGGCCTCCCTGGAGGGGTGGGAGGGGTGGGAGGGGTATTGGTATGGTATGGTATTGGTATGGTATGGCTTGGTATGGCTTGGGATGTTATTGGTTTGGTATGGTATGGTATGGTATGGTATTGGTATGGTATGGTATGGTATTGATATGGTATGGCTTGGTATGGCTTGGTATGGCATTGGTATAGTAAGGTATTGGTATGGTATGGCTTGGTATGGTATGGTTTAGGAGAAGGACGCGGGAGGAGGAGGAGAAGGAGAGGGTGTTCTGGGAAAACAAGAACCCCACTCAGGATGTGGGGAAAAACATGAGAAATAACAGGTGATGCGAAAACACCTCCTCGCTCAGGCGTGGGCCTCCCTGGATGGGGTGGGAAGGGCACGAAACCTGCAAATAAGGTATGCGATACCCTACTCGCTCAGGCGGGGCCTCCCTGGAGGGTGGGAGGGGCACGAAACCTGTAAATAGGTGATGCGATACCCTCCTCGCTCAGGCGGGGCCTCCCTGGAGGGGTGGGAGGGGCACGAAACCTGATAAATAACAGGTGATGCGAATACCCTCCTCGCTCAGGCGGGGCCTCCCTGGAGGGGTGGGAGGGGCACGAAACCTGAGAAATAACAGGTGATGCGAATACCCTCCTCGCTCAGGCGGGGCCTCCCTGGAGGGGTGGGAGGGGCACGAAACCTGATAAATAACAGGTGATGCGAATACCCTCCTCGCTCAGGCGGGGCCTCCCTGGAGGGGTGGGAGGGGCACGAAACCTGATAAATAACAGGTGATGCGAATACCCTCCTCGCTCAGGCGGGGCCTCCCTGGAGGGGTGGGAGGTGGCATCCCCCCTCCCCCCTCCCCCTCCCTCCTGCCTCCTCCTCTGTCCCTCCTCCTCCTCCGCCTCCGTCATCCTTCCTCCTCCTCCTCCCTCCTCCCTCCCTCCCTCCTCCTCCTTACCTCCTCCCTCCTCCCTCTCCTCTTCCTCCTCCTCCTCCGCCTCCTCCTCCTCCTTCTCCTCATCCTCCCTCTCCTCCTCACGGTGATCGTGGCCCCCGAGGGGAGGACGGAGATACAGGAACCCCCTCTTTTGATCGACAGCCTCCAAGATGGCCCCAAGAGGGCCTCCAGGGCTCCCAAGAGAGCCCCAAGAAGGCCCAAATACCGCCCCAAGAAGTCCCAAGAGGCCTCCAAGAGGCCCCCGAGGGGCCTCAGAGAGCCCAAGATGCGGTAAGTCGACGCCGCCTGACGCCAGCGCGTTTGACTCGAGCGAGCTCGGCGGGGATGCGAATCGAACAAATTTGAACCGCTCTGGTTTTCCAAAATTGCATCCTCTTCATCCTAGTCCTCCTACTCCTGTTCCTCCGGCTACTCCTCGGCAACGTGAAAACCGAATGCAAAATCCAAGAAAAAAACGAGACACAGCCAAGCGCTGCCTCCCGGCGCTACGAAGAGGCCAAACGCCTCGCTTCGCCCGCGCACCTGGGCCCCGAAGTCTAGTCCCATTTGCACAACGCCTCTCCGTCGGCACTGATCCAGCGGTCGTAGGTGAACAGCGGGTTCGTGAGGTTGCCGTGGTGCATCCCCCCCCCCGGGTTCCCACGCTGCTTGCAGAAGCCGTATTTGTGCCATCTCGGAAGCTCGCCGCTGCCCTGATAAAAACAATTCGTGGCGGGATATTCCATCAAATATCCCAAGCGCTCCTGTCCGAACGCGCTCGCGGCCCACATGAACATCATGTGGAAAGTGTCCCAATATGCCTGCCCCGGTTTGACTGCCCCCATCTGCTCGCTATTCCACTTGTCTTTCAACTCCGGGATCAAATTGCCCCCCACTAGATGAATCTGGTCCGCGATTTCGCGATTCACGCAAGATTGGAACAAGTTCCACTGGAAATAGAACATGTCGGGGGACACAGCGCGTTCAAAGCTCAAACTCTCCTTAAAGACCAGGTCTGGCCGCAGGATGAGCGCGAACCTGGCGTCGTTGGGCACGTCAGCCAGGCAGGCCCTGTACTGGCCCTGCTGCAGGGGCTGCTCTGCCTTGCTCAGCTCCCGCAAGCTAACGTCGCCGATCGCGGCCCCGAAATACTTCTCGGCGCTCGCCACGAGTCGACGGTTCGCCCCGTGGGGGCGAACGCAGAGGTGCACGTGCACCGAGTTCAAAGCGTACGCCCTCTTCAGGGGTTCCACCACGTGGCGCCTGATTGAACAGAGCGCCACCTCCTGCGCGTCGGCCGAGCTGCGAAATGTTGCCCCTCGGAACACGATCCACGGCTTCTGCGAGAACGTGACGTGTTTTCCGCCAGAAACCTTGAACTTAGGAATCGTCCAGCTTTCCTCGTTGCAGTTCGCCTTCGGAGGGAAAACTACTCGCTGTTCGAATGGTTCGTCCATTTCAACTTCTTGCCCTATGGGTTCGCACGAATTCTTCAACTTGCTGTCCTCTGTTTCCGTCTGGGACAGACTGACTGCGGAAAGTCCACGGACAGGCCGGAGTACCACCAGTGACAGCCATAGGAACCGCATGATCAACAAAAGAGCACTGCGATTGTATAAGGTACGAGGCCCTGCTTCGGAAGCAAAGTATCTGCCACGCGTGTAAACTAAGCGCGATTGCAACATTGAACCCAACCGAATTGAGCGCACTGCGGGATCAACCATTGGACGAGTACGGCCCCAACGTGGGCCCCAAAGCGCGGCCCAAACCGGCCTCGATTCCTGCCCGCCTCGGGCCCAACTTGGCCCCTTTTGATGTCCTTTTCGTGGCCCGCTTCGGCCCTTGTTGGCGCTCATTAGCCCGTCTTTGGGCCGTTTGGGGTTCATGGTGGGCCAGGGTCCAGAGAGCTAACGTCCATGTCACTGATCCGTTGGAAAGTGGTGACGAGCATCGATCAGCCACCAAACATACCTGAGCCTACTCGGAAAAATGGAGCGCAAGAGGATTGCATGATACCGGAGAAACGACCCAATCAATCAAAGTCTCTTTAAGGCTATAGGGCTATGGTGCTATTGGGCTATAGGGCGATGGGGCTACAGGGCTGTAGGGCTATGGAACTATGAGGCTATAGAGCCATAGGGCTACACGTCTATAGGGCTATAGGGCTATAGGGCCACCCACAGGGCTATAGGGCTGTAGCGCTATAGGGTTATTGGGCTATGGGGTTCCGAGGCTCTGGGGCTATAGGGCTATGAATGTATAGGGCTATGGGGCTATAGGACCATAGGGATATGGGGGTATAGGGATATAGGGCTATGGGGCTATAGGCATGTAAAGCTATAGGGCTATAGGGCTATAGAGCTATGCGGCTATAAGGCAATAAGGCTATAGGGTGATAGGGCTATAGTGATATAGAGCTATAGGGCTATGGGGCTACAGGGCAATTGGGCTATAAGGCTATAGGGCTATAAGGCTACAGGGCTATCGGCAGATTGGGCTATTGGGCTACAGGGCTATAGGGCTATGGGGCTGTAGGGCTAAAGGGCTTTAAGGCAACCGGGACACCAGGCACCTGGGCACCTGGGCACCCGGGCACCTGGGCACTCCTGCTTCTGCTTACTCTCTGCCCCCGTGGCTGGCAACATATGCCCGACCCTTGGAACAGGGCGCCTGCGCGCGAGCCGAATCCAGCAAAACGCACGAAGAACGAGCGATGAAGACAAACCGAAACCCGCGACCCCGCAGAAGCCCCTTTCCCGAGTGCACAGCCTCCTAAGAAAGTACGCCCCCTGCACGGACGAGATAAGCCGAGAGAGAGTGTAAGAGAAGACCGCTCCGACGAATCCCACTCGAGTGTGGCACCCTCCCTCCTCCCTGCTGGCCTCCTCCTCCTCCTCCTCCTCCTCCTCCTCCCTCCTCCTCATCCTCCTCCTCCTCCTCCTCCTCCTCCTCCTCCTCCTCCTCCTCCTCCTCCTCCTCCTCCTCCTCCTCCTCCTCCTCCTCCCCGTGCCAATGCTGTTCTATACTCCTCTGGGGGAGTCGGCTGGGGACGCACGGGGCGCCACTAAGGGCGTGGATTCCCCACGCCCGACGAGCACCCCAGCCGAGCCCCCAGGGGTGTGAACAGCGGGGCGACAGTGGCAAGAGGCACGCTCAAGTGCCCTCCCAGCACAAGGAGGATGCGTCGACCCAGACCGGACCTCCTCCAGCAGTGCTTCTATTGCCCACCTTGCAGGTTCGGGTCGGAGAGCCACAGGCCCCGCCTGTGTGGTCACCCTGGGGGAACACGTTTCGCCAGTGACAGTCTAAGCATGGCCCTCCTGAGCGAGGTCGACACCAGCTGCCGGTCGGCTCCGCCAGATGGTCTCAACGAGGCAGCCAGAGGATTTATCCTCCAGGAGCCTGCCAGCAATACTGGCGATCCTACACACCTTCCTTAGGAGGCATGCGCCTCCATGACACTGCCCGGAGAAAATGCCGGCGCTTGTTTTGTCAATTTTCATTCGAACAAGTCGGAGTGTCGTCATTCACACTATGTCTGGTGGGACCCCGCCGGTTTGTGTGAATCTTTAGAGTCGGCACTTTACTTCAGTCGCGAGGCAATTGCCTCAAGGACGCAACCGGAGGCAAGGCCGGTAGTCCTGCACACCCATACGCGTCCCCCTCATCCCCTCTCCTCCCTCCATATTCCGCCACCCCCCGGCGGCCAGACCGGGCCACGTGCATCCTCAGACCCTGCACGCTGGCCCTTGTCGCGAGGCAGTTGCCTCAAGGACGCACTCGGCGGCAAGGCCGGTAGTCCTGCACACCCTTACGTGTGCCCCTCATCCCCTCTCTTCCCTCCATACTCCGCCACCCCCTGGCGGCCAGGCCAGGCCACGTGCATCCTCAGACCCTGCACGCTGGCCCTTGTCGCGAGGCAGTTGCCTCAAGGACGCAACTGGCGGCAAGGCCGGTAGTCCTGCACAACCATGCGCGTCCACCTCATCCCCTCTCCTCCCTTCATATTCCGCCACCCCCTCCTGGCGGCCAGACCGGGCCACGTGCATCCTCAGACCCTGCACGCTGGCCCTTGTTGCGAGGCAGTTGCCTCAAGGACGCACCCGGCGGCAAGGCCGCTAGTCCTGCACACCCATACGTGTCCCCCTCATCCCCTCTCGTCCCTCCACATTCCGCCACCCCCCTGGCGGCAAGACCGGGCCACGTGCATCCTCAGATCCAGCACGCTGGCCTTTGTCGCGAGGCAGTTGCCTCAAGGACGCACCCGGCGGCAAGGCCAATAGTCCTGCACACCTTTACGTGTCCCCCTCACCCACTCTCTTCCCTCCATATTCCGCCACCCCCTGGCGGCCAGACCGGGCCACGTGCATCCTCAGGGCCTGCACGCTGGCCCTTGTCGCGAGGCAGTTGCCTCAAGGACGCACCCGGCGGCAAGGCCGGTAGTCCTGCACACCCATACGCGTCCCCCTCATCCCCTCTCCTCCCTCCAAATTCCGCTTCCCCCTGGCAGCCAGACCGGGCCACGTGCATCCTCAGACCCTGCACGCTGGCCCTTGTTGCGAGGCAGTTGCCTCAAGGACGCACCCGGCGGCAAGGCCGGTAGTCCTGCACACTCTCACGTGCCCCTCTCACCCTCCCCGCCCCCCCCCCTGTTCCCATCCCTCCCTCCCTCCCACCTCCTCTTCCTACTCATTCCCGTCGAGGTCTTTACCTCGAGGGCTTCACTTCGAGGTTTCTATCTCTGGATGTGTCGTCATTCACACTGTTTCTAGTGGGGCCCCGCCGGTTTGTGTGAATCTTTGGACTCGGCACTTTACTTCAGTCGCGAGACAGTTGCCTCAAGGACGCAACCGGCGGCAAGGCCGGTAGTCCTGCACACCCTTACGCGTCCCCCTCATCCCCTCTCCTCCCTCCATATTCCGCCACCCCCTGGCGGCCAGACCGGGCCACGTGCATCCTGACCCTGCACGCTGGCCCTTGTCGCAAGGCAGTTGCCTCAAGGACGCACCCGGCGGCAAGGCCGGTAGTCCTGCACACCCTTACGTGTCCCCCTCATCCCTTCTCTTCCCTCCATATTCCGCCACCCCCTGGCGGCCAGACCGGGCCACGTGCATCCTCAGACCCTGCACGCTGGCCCTTGTTGGGAGGCAGTTGCCTCAAGGACGCACCCGGCGGCAAGGCCGGTAGTCCTGCACACCCATGCAGCGTCCCCCTCATCCCCTTTCCTCCCTTCATATTCCGCCACCCCCTCCTGGCGGCCAGACCGGGCCACGTGCATCCTCAGACCCTGCACGCTGGCCCTTGTTGCGTGGCAGTTGCCTCAAGGACGCACTCGGCGGCAAGGCCAGTAGTCCTGCACACCCTTACGTGTCCCCCTCATCCCCTCTCTTCCCTCCATATTCCGCCACCCCATGGCGGCCAGACCGGGCCACGTGCATCCTCAGTCCCTTCACGCTGGCCCTTGTTGCGAGGCAGTTGCCTCAAGGACGCACCCGGCGGCAAGGCCGGTAGTCCTGCACACCCATACGTGTCTCCCTCATCCCTTCTCTTCCCTCCATATTCCGCCACCCCCTGGCGGCCAGACCGGGCCACGTGCATCCTCAGACCTTGCACGCTGGCCCTTGTCGCGAGGCAGTTGCCTCAAGGACGCACCCGGCGGCAAGGCCGGTAGTCCTGCACACCCATATGTGTCCCCCTCATCCCCTCTCCTCCCTCCATATTCCGCCACCCCCTGGCGGCCAGACTGGGCCACGTGCATCCTCAGACCCTGCACGCTGGCCCTTGTCGCAAGGCAGTTGCCTCAAGGACGCACCCGGCGGCAAGGCCGGTAGTCCTGCACGCTCTCACGTGCCCCTCTCACCCTCCCCGCCCCCCCCCCGTTCCCGTCCCTCCCTCCCTCCCACCTCCTCTTCCTACTCATTCCCGTCGAGGGCTTCACTGCGAGGTTTCTATCTCGGGTTTTCCACCCACCTCGAGGTGTTTTCCTGCTGTGGGGGAACCGCACCGTTCATCCTGAGGGTCGACCCGTCTGACTTTCGAGCGGGCCGCCGTATCCCCCCTAGGATGGCGATCCGACCCGCGGTGGCACAGATCCCCCCCGCCCCCCCTCAGGGTGTCGCCCCGACCTGCTGTATAGCAGGTCCCCCATCGCCGCCCTGCTGTGGAGTGGGCCCCCCGGTCACCGACCGGATCGCGATCCCTCCTCCCGTGGAGCAGGCCCACATGGCGCCACCAGGGTAGCAAGCCGTCTGACGTTATTCTGTAGGAGTCCAGCGTCTGACGTTATTGTGGGGAATCAACGTCAGCGTCTGACTCTATTATGTGGGATGCCAGCCCATCCCCTGGCCAGGCGGTGTGACACGCTACACGCCCTCTCACTGGCATGGTATGGCGGAGACAGGAGCTATCGTGAAGCTCCCCCGCCACACCTAACGGTGCCTCCAACGGTCCCCGCACAGGCTCTGGGACCAGAAGGTTGGCGTCACAACCTTCACGAGTACCGTTTTCAAGGATGGGAGAGCCTGCGTGCCCCACCCGATCTGAAAGGGTTATGCCTACCCTCAAGGGCATCAGCAATACACTACAATCCTCCTCCTCCTCCTCCTCCTCCTCCTCCTCCTCCTCCTCCTCCTCCTCCACCTCCTCCTTCCTCCCCTCCTCCTCCTCCTACTCCTCCTCCTCCCCTCCTCCCCACTACCGAAGGCGTCGCTCCTCCTCCTCCTACTCCTCCTCATTTTCTAGGGTGTGAGGTTTCTCGACGGGATAGGCGACCCTCCTCTTCCTCCTCCTTTCCGCACCTCCTCCTCCTCCCTCCTCCTCTTCCTCTCCTCTTCTTTCTCCTCCTCCTCCTCCTCCTCCTCCTCCTCCTCCTCCTCCTCCTCCTCCTCCTCCTCCTCCCCTTCTCC